CTTGGCGATGTCGTGATTTGGCAGCTTCGACAATGTCGTCTGGAAGGTTATGAGTACGTGCCGCCGTTGTGGCGAGGGCGTCAGCCTGACGATTGAACTCCTCCGCGATGGGCCCGATGAGCCCGAGGTCGATGCCCATGTCGCCCTGGTGGCTGGCGACTTTCTCGACGCGGAACATGTTGGGCTTGGCCATGACGCATCGGTGGACCTTTTCCCAGAGCTCCACGTGCGTGCCCTGCGGTGGTGAGTGTCCGTCGATGATCCTTTGGAGACCGTCAACCACCGCCTGGTTGTCCACGAAGACGTGTACGGGCCGTTCGGCACATGCCGTGAGGTGGACAATGGCGAGGGTCTCCGCAAGCTGTGCGTTCTGCGTGATGCCGTGAACGCGTGCACTGTAGTTCATGCGGTGGTCGATGCCGTAGTAGACGCCGTAGCCCGCTCGTGCAAGCAATGGGATGGCTTGGTTGGTGCATGCACCGTCCGTGGCAGCGTAGACCCATGTCCAACCAGTGTCATGGTCAAGGTAGGTGGTGTAGGAGTCCTGGGCTGAAGCCGCAGGATCTCCCTCAGGTGGGGGCCGCGGTATGGGCTGAGGTAGCGGGTCCCTCGCGAGGTCGGCCTGCAGGTCGAGGAGGGCTGGGTCTTCATCGAAGAGCCCGCAGTGTCTTGTGTGCGGTGGAAGACGGGCCCACTGCTCGTCACTGATGAGGGTGGTAAGAGGGACTCTTTCTCGGGCCCAGCACTTGCAGTCGCGAACAGTGTGCTCCTGAGTTTCCTCTTCCTCGTCGCAGTATCGGCAGATGGGGCTGGGGTCAGCGGACGTGTTTGATCGGGATCGTCGCTGTTGGGTGTGGTCCCCGCCCGACAGGTAGTTAAGGAGGAGCGCCAGCTGCCATGCGTTGCATTTGGCTGCTCCTTTCGTTCGGGCGAGCCACGTGCTGGCGAAGAGGTCGAGGCCCTGTCTGACAGAGGCCAGGTGTCCAAGGTCATGACGCCGTGGCTTGATTTTTCTCAGAAAGGCTCTGCGTTGTGAGGCTCGCAGCATGTGAAGGAAGGCGTTTTGGGGTAGGTTCAGCCAACTGATCTGACAGCCCCAGTCGTCGTACATGATGCCAAATGTGGGCCAGGTCCAACGGAGCTGCTGAAGCGTCTGGACAAGTCGTCCAACAGGTCCTCCCCCGAAAAGGGTCTGGACATGGTGTTGGAGATCCCTGACGAGACCGCAGAGAGTAGCGTCGCGGTTAACCTGTCGCCGCAGACACAGGAAGACTTCACGCTGCATAATGGCGTCAATCTCCAGGGCGTGTCCTGGGACGCACACGGCCATGAGAGTCCAAAACTCGACCCACCTGTTTCCCTTGGGGCGGATAGCCGCCTTAAGGGCATGGTTGTAGGCAGTTTTGACGGGGCCTGATGGGGCTTGAATGTCGGTGCCCGTGGTACAGACGCTGGCAGCAAGGGAACGGGCGTGCCGCGCCTTAATAAGCATCGGTGATGGGAGCTTGCCAATGCGCGGCAGGCGACTAGTCGCCCTGCGAACACGGGCGTCAGCGGTGGCCGTGAGGTTAAGCGCGGCTGGAGCCGGCGCTGCCTCGGCGTTGATGTAACTCCCGACGAGCTTAAAGGAGTCGACCACGCGTAAGGGCCGTTCCGCCAGAGTGAGCTGGGTAACGGCGGTGTGAAGCTCGTCGGTGAGCGCCCACCCCGCCACTTTGCCAGGATGAATGCGTTGACCAGAAAATCGATCAAACTTGGCGGTTTCATCAAGAGATTTCTGCAACTCAGGCGCGGTGTGGGTAGTGGAGTTGCTGTCGTCAACAAAGGTAGTGCTGAGTGATCGCGGAACGTATCGATGCTGTCTCTTGGTCCACACACACATGAGCAGCTTAATGTCGTCCAGGGACCAAGAGCTTCCCTGGAGGTGCCCGTTAGTCCTGGCCAGTTCCTTAGAGTACGCACCGTTCATGCGGATGTAGCGTTTGTGGCGCCTGTAGAAGTTTCTGCGGACAGTAACGATGTCTTGGGGACACCCCGCGTGAAGCGCAAGGTTAAGGCAGATGTCCGTGATGAGGTAGTCGAAACACTTCTGTCGGTCCAGGGCAGCTCCAGCTAAGGGAAGGAGTAAGGCCCTGGCGTGTTCGATGCGCAGGGCAAGAGAGGTGCTGACGTCCCCAATGGTAGCTTTGGGAACAGCGCCAAAACTCGTGGCGTGGGTCCATCCTTTCCGCCAGTCCGTGAGGCTGCGGTAAGCTGGCGCTTCCCACGCATACATCCAAACGGAAAGCACCGAGAGAAGTCGTTGGTCCGTTGGGAGTTCGCCTCGGCCTTTTCGGAGGCACGGGTTTGGCACGTGGAGGAGGGGCTCTGGGATGGTGCCAGTGCGTTGCATAGCGCGTAGGACGCTGGCGAAGAGGCGAAGAATGTCGTCGGGTAACTCCTTAGCCTCCTTAGTAGTCCAGCCGTCCAGTCCCCCCGCGCGGCGCGGTGAACGGGTGCGAATGAAGTGGATGAGTTGGTCGTCAGTAAGGTGGAAAGGGGTAGCTGGTACTGGCGTAGGCAGCTCCTGTCGGTACTCGTCGTAGAAGTCGGCCCACGTCGGCATGGCTTCGGCGTCATGTCCCGCACGTGCACGGTACCTGCCCAAGATGGGCTCCCAGGTGTCGACCATGAGCTTCAGCATGTCCTTGGTGTTAGCAACAATGGCGTTGGCAGGGAGGATGTCGGGGACTTGCGCAGGTGGTGGTTCACGAGTGTGGTCTTCGTCGCTGTCCGTGTCGGGCGAACTACCGTCGCTGGGGCTGAAGCCGCCAGCTTCGGTGTCAGCGTCGCTGTCGTCCGTGCAAGCTTCGTCAGGTTTGAAGGCGTTGGTGTCGCAGTGGAGTTGCGTGTCGTCAGGTGTGGTAGGCGTGCGGAGATACGCCGTGGGCGAGCTGTCAGCAGCCCGTGCGTATATGGCCGCCTTTCGCCCGCTTGGCTCGCGGACGCCCTCAGCCCATATCTTGATGCGTTCAGCTTTGGCACGGTTCGCGCGTCGCGCCAGCTCCAAGTCGAGGTGTTGGATCAAAACGTCAAGGTGCTCTCCGTGAGGCACTGGCTCGTAGAGAGAGAGAGAGAGAGAGAGAGAGAGAGAGAGAGAGAGAGAGAGAGAGAGAGAGAGAGAGAGAGAGAGAGAGAGAGAGAGAGAGAGAGAGAGAGAGAAGAGAGAGAGAGAGAGAGAGAGAGAGGAGAGAGAGAGAGAGAGAGAGAGAGAGAGAGAGAGAGAGACAGAGAGAGAGAGACAGAGAGAGAGAGAGAAAGAGAGAGACAGAGAGAGAGAGAGAGAGAGAGAGAGAGAGAGAGAGAGACCAACGATCGCCTGCGGGATGCCCATGGCCCAGGGGGCCAGGAATATCATTGCCGAGAACCGACGGGCATGCCGCCTGGGTGCCAGCTGTATCAGGTCCCCGCAGACATTGAAAGAAGTCGCCCATGTTTCCACCTCAACGACATCGCCCAAGATATCGCGGCCCTGAACGCTTCCGCGCAGCTGCCCCATGACCGTCTGCGGTGCTACCTCAGTCAGACCGATGCAGAACGCGCCCGATAGGATCTCAGCGCTTGCGTCGGAGAGAGAAAGGGGGCGAGTAGATCCAGATAGCCTCGAAACAAGAACTGTTCCCCCGTCGGTGGGGGCGCCATTCCGCTGGCCCCACAACCCCCAGGACGAGAAACGCCTTCGCTTACATGCGCTAATGCGATGACATGCGCTGGGCACATGCACATTCACAATCGCAAAATCCCGGGCGGGCCCCGAGCAGCGCAGCATGAGGGCCCCCCCTTTCTGCAACTTAGATAGGAAACAAAGCCACGTACATATGAAGGACTAAAGTAACGCCTCCTCCAGCTGCCTTCTGTTCGAAACTGCCGCAGACTGGGCCTGCGCGCGTCTCGTCAGTTAACGTGGCCAAGTCGGCCGCGGCGCCATGGCCCCCCTGGAAACATGCTAGCTGATATCTCTCAAGCAACCTTTTTTTCCCCGCCGCAACCTTGATCTTGTTCTGAGAGAGGGGGATGACATGGAGGCAAAGAGAGCGCGAGTGTTCCACATTCAGAGCGCGAGCGGAGTAGGAGGACGCCCAGCTCCATCTGCAACCCCAACCGGCGGAGGAGAACCATGTGACGCTGCGTCAATTGAACGACATCTATCGCTACTCTCAGGAGACGGGGGCCCAGTTGAGCTCGCAGGTTCCGAAGCCTCAGAACTGCCCCCGTCGAGCCCCCTTTCCATCGAGACAGCTGTCGCGCTCGCCAGAAGGGGCGGGCCTCTGAGAAGCGGGCGCGCAAGCGCGGCGCAAGTCCTCCCCCCTCGACGTCGACCAAACCCGCCTTGTTCACCATCGCGTTCGCGCTGCCAGCCGAAGGGCCATTATCCATCATGGACGTCTTCACAACAGGAACAATAATGGCACCCTTGGTTGGTCACCTAGATCGCCCCCCGAGCCCCGTGGATCCGACGCGCTCTTGCCCGGAGATCCACGCCGCCGCCTGCCTCGCGCGCCCGAACTCGTATAACCGCGCGCGAGGCGTCTGAGGGGGTCACGGCGGACGCGGAGCTCAAGGGCAACTCCACCCGTGGGGTCAGGAAAGGTAAGCGGTCCGTCAGGCATGCACTTCGCGTGGGATGTAGGAGCCACCGGAGCGTGCGGGAAATCGACCAGCACCTTCCTACCAAAGCTGAAAGCTTGAGTGTTGGCGCAAGGGGTGTCACTTGGCAGCGCGCGCTTGTTCTCTATAGGTGTGGCAGCCTATGGAACAATAGCTTCTATCAGCGGGCGACAGAATCCCAGGGCCGCCTGACGAGACGGGTTGCCAACGTCACCTAGATCGACACAACGACGAACCTGGCGCCCGACGTGGTCACCATCAGCAGGAGTTGCCGTTCCAACAATGGGATTAGCAGCGCCCCCAATCTGAGCCTCCCTCAACGCCGCGAGCCCCTCCTTCATCGTATCAATGACCCCATCGCATCCTTCCTCATCTCACTCCCAGCAAACTCGCGATCCTGAATGGCCTGCACGAGGGCCGGTCTCTGGATACAACGACGATTTGCAAACTTATCCATGGCCTGCTTCGCGAGATCTGCATGAGCTGCCTGTAAAATCTGACGGCTCTCCCCAGCCTGCAACGTCTGGCCCTGGATCCCCGAAATCTGTTTGTTAATCTCCGTAGTGCCCCGATCCACCTGCTGTATGGGAGACTCTACGCTGCACGCGAGCGGCTGACAAAGCTCTTTGCGAGCGGCAATCAGGTCGGTACCCGTCGTGCTCATACCTGGGGACGGCGGGCAGCCGGAGCGGCCCTCGCTACCCTCACCCTACACAGCGGTGGTGGGAACATGCGACTTCCCTGGCCGCGGCACGGCTTGGCGCATCGCTTCAATGGCGAGCGGGGGGAGCGGAACGGGAGCTGAGGAGAAGCGGCCGCCGAGGGCCAGGGGGCGCGGCCGCGGCCTGCCCTTGGTGCAGGGGCCGGCAGGCGCCCCGAGAGAGCTTGGGAAGTCAAGGAGCAGGCCCACTGAGCCAAAATGGCGACGGAAGTGGAAGAGGAGGAAGAAGAGGAATAGGAGGAGGAAGAAATAAGAGGAAGAAGGAGGCAGGATGAGTCGGAAGGGTGGAAAACAAGTCCTTCTCATCGTGCTCCTCCTCTTTCTCCTCCTCCTCCTTCTCCTACTCGTCTTCCTCCTTCACAACACATTTGTTTGTCCTCTTTCTTCCTCTTCCCTGTTCATGTCCCTCCTCCTCTGTCTTCCTACCCCCTCGTCTCTACTTCCTCAGTGTTTCTCGTCTTCTTCCCTCCTCCTCCTCTTCCTCTTCCTCCTCCTCCTCTTCCTCTTCGACCTCCCATTCAGCGGGGGCCGCTCGAAGAACGACGACGACGACGACGGACGTACGACGACGACGGCGGCCACGGGCGCTGGCGAACAGCGACGGCGACGACGGACGAGGGACTGAAGGACTGAAAGACGAAGGACGACGACGACGAAAACGAGGACGAGGACGGCGAAAGCGACGACGAGACGAAGATGGACTACGGGCGACGACGGCGACGAAAGACAACAAAAGACGACGACGACAATGAATGACGAAAGACGGACGAGGACGACGTCAGCGAACGACAACGACGACCGACGAAGACGACGACGACGACCCATTCGTCAGAGGTGTCCAGGACGAGCACGGGCCCAACAGCATCCCGGTACAGCGTGTGCAGGGCGTGGACTCGCCGATCGGGCACCCCAGGGACCGAGCCGTCCATGGGGCCAATGTCCTCGAGGGGGTGGGGGGGGGAGGAAGGAGGAACTGGGAGGAGGAGGACAGTAGTGGGAGGACAAGTCAGGAGGCAGGAGGAAGAGCAAAAGGAGGCAAGCGAGGTGCGCTCGCGTCATATCTGTCGTCCTACCCCTCCCTCCCATTCTTTACCACGGCGTAGATCTCCACTTGATCGCGCAGTCGAGCAAGACAATTATCCCGAGAGGGTACGCGATGCATGGTACAGCGCGGCATAGCATGGCGTAAAAGAGCACGGCAGAGCGTAGCATGTCAGAGCATGGCGTGGCATTGCGTGGTGAATCAGTACGCCGCAGGACATTGGAACGCAAAGTCTGACATCGGAGAGCAGCACTGAGCACAACGCCGCAGCGCATGTCATGGTATGGCACCAGGTCCCTTGGAGGGTAAGTGTATCGTTTGGGTGCGGTCTGGGCCTGCTAGAGCTGCCCACTCACCGGTGACCCGCGCGGGTCGCCGGTGACCCTCACGCGCTCCCCCTGGCTTTTTTGGGAATAGCGGATCGTTGGGAGTGTTCACCGCCGGCGCCACTTCCGGCGCGCTGGAGAGCTAGTTGGCAAGAAACATCTCGACGGACCTTTTGCTGATTTTTGCTCGGTTGAAAATTATGTTCTCGAAATTCAACGATCCGTTAGAGCTCTAGTATTTGCTTCCCGTGATATCCGATCTTATTCCCGTTGGGGTGATATGTGGGTTTGATCATTTTATCGTTGCAGTTGGTTTACAGCGAGCGTTGTGGCAGCTCGTTGGGGCGTGCCGTTCTGGCCGATCCTTCGGAGATCTTCGACTGCCACATCTTGAGGATGCTCGTTGTGGCGGAACTTTCGGGGGTGCTCGTTGTGGCAGATTTTCAGGGTGCCCGTTTTGGTATATATTTAGAGGGGCTCGTTTTCAAGTGTTCTTTGGGGGCACTCGTTTTGGCACATATTTGGGGGTGTTCGTTTTGGCGAATCTCTGGGGAGCGCCATTTTGGAAGAGCCAGAGGTTCGGAAATGACGCTACAGATCAAACGAGATCGCCTGTCTGAAACGACCGACAACATCCAGATAGGAAAGCGTACAAACAAACACATCTAGCGCACATCATGTGTGCAAGAAACCATACGCGGAGGGGGAGCGAAAGCGCCAGCCAGACACGAAAAGCACATAGGAAAGACCAACACATTGAATCC